AATAAGGAGACACAGGAAGGCATAGAGAAAAATAAGAGAAATAAAGAGACATTAGGAGGCATTGGGGTGCTCAGGAGGCATGAGGAGGCAAAAAGGCACAGGAGGCATAGGAGGCATAGGGGGCACAGGAGGCATAGGAGGCACAGGAGGCATAGGAGGGATAGGAGGCACAGGAGGCATAGGAGGGATAGGAGGCACAGGAGGCATAGGAGGGATAGGAGGCACAGGAGGCATAGGAGGGATAGGAGGCATAGAGGGCATAGGAGGGATAGGAGGCATAGAGGGCAATGACCTATTTTAGAACATTTCTCATATATCGGGCCTATCGGATTATAATGCGCATAAGATCCTGCAGTCCAACGCTTGGCGTCGGGGCGGGTGGATGTGGATGTGGATGTGGACGGGGGGTGAGGGGAGGTGGAGACGGTGCTTTCAGGGTCCGATTGATGCTGCGAGGTGTGTCCACTCTCGCCGCCCCCTCGCCATCCACGCCTTAAATCTTCGGCTGCTTTTAGAATAACTTATTTCCCCGTTAAGATGGTTCAGCTACTGTAGAGAAAAGGACGCTGTCTCTCGCTCTTTAATCTCATGAAGCGCTCGGCGAGAACGACAGCTTTGTTTCTCCGACGCGCCCTGAAAGCAGCTCCACATCTCACGCGCTTGAGCGCCGCTCAGCATCTCGCCGTCGTAGACGAGCTTTGTCGTGTTTGGCAGAGCACCTTGAGCGCCGTGTACAACCAGTATGGATCAACCCATTAACCAGTTGATCTATATATATATATATATATATATATATATATATATATAAGGCGCTCCGGATTATAAGGCACTGTCGTTTTTTGAGGAAATGAAAGGCTTTAAGTGTCTTGGAGTGCGGATGCGGTATCTGTTCTACTCACAGATCCTTTATACTAAGTACTGAGTATGCAGCTCATCATCAGGAAGACGAGGCTGCACACCGATGTCCAATAATCCAATACTGGTTCCCTCTTGAATATTCATATCACACAGCTTTTAAATACAAACAGTGAAGGCGGACTCCACTGAAACGGCATCACCATAGTTTAGAGCCGCCCATCGAGTGAGGGCTGACCATCTTTTTCTATCTGCGAGTGGATGCCTCTTCTGAACGTGCAGTTGTTCTTGTCTGGATATTTGTGGCTGTTTATTTCACAAGGATCACCAGGTGAAGGTCAGAGTGTGCACATATTTTAGTTCCGCCTGATATTACTGAATACATGAGCAGCATAATCATCTAATTACAGGAGAAACGTAATTGAATAGACGGAATAAACCACGTTTTAATGCAGTATAGCTGATGAATGTAATTGTTTGAAGAAATGCAAAACAACACGTCCTTTGAGCGTGCTGTTTGTTTCCCACCTGTTTGCACCAGATATTATAATACATGGCCAGAAGTATACGGACATGCATGCACCACAGCCATATGTGCCTAGTGAACATGGGCGCTAATCTGCTGCTATAACAGCTGGTCTGGTCTAGACAAGAGGACCCACTTTTTAAATATGGCAAACCACCGTGACCCAATTCACAACAGGCCTCATCTATAAACCATGAGGAGAACAAATCTGTGCATGGAAGGGTTGTATTGGCCATTTCTGCATCAACGTGTATCATCTGGAGTAGGTCAGCCATGCAGCTGAGGCCAAGTCCCAATGAGGCTCCTTCATGTGGCTCTAAAGTGTACTGCAGATATTTATGGGACAAGTCCAGCTTATTTATTAACAATTCAAACTGATCTCAGCCTTTTGCAACTTAAGGCCCACTTAAAAAAATAAAAACAAAATTTGAGGACCAACTTTCCGAATACATAATAAAACAATTCATCAATATATGAAAATATATTCCTTCTCAATACAAGCCGTGGAGCTTTTACTCAGTCGAGGTTGTGTCCTGCATCGCTTACGTCTCAAGAAGCGATCCAATCGTTCCACAGTCTCCATGAAGATCTCCAGGCCACAGGAGAGCTCTGTTGGTTCCTCTATTTCTCTCTCTGTGCCTGTGCAGCCAGCAGATGGCACTCTGAGGCCCACCAGGAGCAACGGTAGTGCACTCGTTTCACTTTATAGTTCTACAGGTTTAGAATGATGTCATGAAAGTTGTTGTTATTGTCCATTGGATAAATGGAGCAAGGGTAGATTTCCTTCAGCTTATAGGAGTACATTTAGTGAGGAGACGCAGAGCACTAAAAGGCATTAGTGTGATTTACAGCAAAGTGATGCAGATTAGGAACCATTTCACTCACTGTAACGCTCCCTAATGGACATTTGTCCCCTTTAACCTTTCCCCTCGCACCCCCCCATTCCATCTAAAAAACAAACAAACTTTTTGTGTGGTTTTATTGGTGGTCCACAGATTTGAGACAATATAAACAGAAGACGTGTGTATCGCACACATGCCTTTACCTTTTGTGTGTGCCTATGACGCATTTATGGCTATTTCTATGTGTCTTTCTTTTTGCATCAGTCTACCACCTGTTTTCCCAGAGTTATGACCTCAGCCTGCAGGCGTCTCCGTCCAACACTGCCAAACTACATACAGCTGTGTGTGTGTGTGTGTGTGTGTGTGTGTGTGTGTGTGTGTGTGTAAGAGAGTTGTCACATCTGCAGGGGAGTTACTGAAAAATACTGTTTGTAGAGAAAAGAACTGAGAGGTTACAACTTGAGGAGGTGCGGGAAAGTTAGAGAAAGAGAAACAGAGGGATTGAAAAGGGAAGACAGGGAGGTGAAGACGTATCTGACATATAAGACATAACAAATAAGAGGGTGACAGGGAGAGAATCTTAAAACTAGGAGAGAGAGTATGTACAGTATGCATGAGGAAAACGGAAACAGGTCTCACAAACACAAAGGCTTCATTGAGACATGCATCACTCCTTCCTCCCACTTTCATTTGTTGTTTCTTTCGGAGTTCTTCTATTGAGTGTCTTTCTTCTCTTTCGGTGCAAACGTCCTGTTTACACTGTACACTCACACGTGCTGCTCCACACACCATACAAAGGCCCTGGGAAGCAAACCTCAGTGCCTTTGGAGCTAATTGAGTACTAGGAAGTGAAAAGAATTCAGCAGGGCGATAATGTGGTTCACCGGTTCTTCTCAAACGGGGTTTATTTGTCTTAACCACAACCTTTCTCTGCTGGCAGCTGTACTGTAAATGCCACGTGGATAACGTGGTAAGTGAAAACACATTCTCAGCCAGTCTGAAAAGTCTACGCTCTCTAGTGGTGGACGGGTCAGGGAACACGGGTCAACTTCAGCTTGTTCAATGTCTTTTCAAAATAAAATGTCTTTGTTAGGTTAAGGTTCTTAGCGAAGTTACTTAGGTAAGTATATAAAGAAAGTTATATATAGAAAGAAGTTCCTCCCTATGCGCTGCTCCTTTTACACCGTCAGGCGCTCTGACCGTCAAAAGCCAAATAGTTCTCCTGCATATGCTTAAGAGAAGTGCATTTGGAACTAGCAGCGAGCCCCATTAAACCACCTCATAGAGGGGTGTCTCAGCTTCATAGAACAGACAGGAATCAGAAAAGCCAGAAAGTCAGAGGCTCGGCGTCAGTCCGTCCCAGTACCCAAGCTGGTCTCAGTACCCAAGCTGGTCTCAGTACCCAAGCTGGTCTCAGTACCCAAGCTGGTCTCAGTACTCAAGCTGGTCTCAGTACCCAAGCTGGTCCCAGTACCCAAGCTGGTCTCAGTACCCAAGCTGGTCCCAGTACCCAAGCTGGTCTCAGTACCCAAGCTGGTCCCAGTACCCAAGCTGGTCTCAGTACCCAAGCTGGTCTCAGTACTCAAGCTGGTCTCAGTACCCAAGCTGGTCCCAGTACCCAAGCTGGTCTCAGTACCCAAGCTGGTCTCAGTACCCAAGCTGGTCCCAGTACCCAAGCTGGTCTCAGTACCCAAGCTGGTCCCAGTACCCAAGCTGGTCCCAGTACCCAAGCTGGTCCCAGTACCCAAGCTGGTCTCAGGTGCCGTTGAAAATGAGAAGTAGCAGCAAACCAGTTTTGCATGTTTTTGTTAGTTTTTTTCCCTGCAGTATCAGACCCACGGAGTACCACGGAGTACACGTGGCTCGTTTTGAATTGGACTCTGATCATGGTGTCGGGCCTTGGGTTTCCACACCAGACCCTGCTTGATCCGCCCCAGACCGCAAGACGTCGGTGGAGTTTCCCTCCCGACTCCAGTTGAGCGGGAGGAGCGCTTTCTGTTTCGCTTTTTCGCTCGTTTGTTTTTTGTGGAAAATAAAATCAAATGTAAATTCAAACTGCTGTGCGTGTGCATTTGGGTCCACCAACTACACCCCCCGAACACAAGGCACTTGCTGGTGAGGCACCGTCGTATCTTAAAGAGCTTGTAACACCTTATTGCCCTACAAGGCAGCTGCGCTCCATAGATGCTGGTTACTTGTTGTTCCTATGGTTTTAAAAAGTAGGCTGGGGGGCAGAGCCTTCAGTTATCAAGCTCCTCTTTTGTGGAACCAGGTTCCACTTTCAGTCCGGGGGGCAGATTCGGTCAGCTCTTTTAAAGTAAAACTTAAAACGTTCCTCTTTGATTGTGCCTATAGTTAGGGCTGGCTCAGGTTAGCCCGGACCAGCCCTTAGTTAAGCTGCTATAGGCTTAGACTGCCGGGGGACTTCTTAGGACACACCAAGCTCCTCTGTCACGCTCTCGTTCTACCATAATCCGTTATAATATAATATATATAATAATCCGTTTTATTAATGCGCTTCACTAATTCAGTTTGTTGTGCTTTCTCGCCTCGCAGGTGTCCGTAGATCGTAGTTCTGTCTGGACCCTGGTTCTGACTCCTGCATGGCGCGCAGACACTTACTGCCTGTAACACCATTGATATTCCCATTTCTATTGCTGTAAACATTAATGCGCATCACTAACTTTGTTTCTTCTCACCTCACAGGTTTCCATGGATCATGGTTCTATCTGGACTCTGTTCCTGCCTCCTGCTGACACCTGCTCCTTTTTTATACTCCTCTAATGAAATGATATATATGTCTTACTGTTTTCACCTTGAGTCTGAAATAAAAGTTTGATTGATTGACATAATGTTCTTTTAACACATATATTTCGAATTACGAATAAAAAATCATTTTAAGATTAAACTAAACAGTCGTCAGTACAAGGAGTTGATTTGAATGTTTTGAATGAGGCGTCACCTCATAAAGATGAACACCAAAGGAAAGAGTTTAGAAGCAGCAGAACACAAACAATGAATCCAAAACACACTGTAATCTTGTACACAGTGGAAAAGTTCATTATTTTCCTAAGCTTCAACGTATTTAATGACAGCCGTGATTAATGAGTTACTCTTTAAATATAGATAAATATGCTCCTACTTAGTTTTAAATAGACACACATACATATATATATATATATACACACACATACATACATATATATGTATATATATATACACACACGGTACATTAGCCTCTCTAGCGGCTAAAGGCTCCACTGTGCTAGCAGCAGAGCACCACTATCACAGCTTGTGTGCTGCAGTGAGAACGCTGAGACGCTCATTGGATATTTAAAATCACACGTGTTTCTGTCTATATTAAATGGGTTTCTTGAAAAAATAACTTTTATCCTCTGGAGTGAATAAGGGTTCAATTTCCGGGGCTCCGAGGAATCGCTGTGGACTCGCGCCGGTTTGGGAGGCCCCCCGCCCCCTGACAACACGGCAACCCCTGGGAAGCAGGCACTCTGATAATGTACATGAAGAAGAATGAGCACAGCGATACACATGTCAGAGGACAGAGACACAAAGGAGGGAGGGAGCTGGACAGATGTGCGTGAGAAGAAGTTCTCAGCGGGAGCCAAACACTCCCCTCAGGTGCTCTCCGTTCAGGAGAAGACACTTCAAAGTGAATACTTTTAATAGAGACCAGACGGACGGACGGCGAGGACGAGGACTCATAGTAAACCAAAGACTAAATGTCCCTTCAAACACCCCTATGGATGTTGTCCCAGGTTTTGTGGTGGTGTCTTGTATGTGAGTTTGCGTGTATGAACATCTGCTGTGTGTGTAGGTGTTTGAATATAAACAAAAAACGTGAAGCACAAGTAAACAAAGTATGTCTGAATGAACGTGTTCCTCCGTCTTCTCCTTGTGTCACACAGCTGTTTGGCTCCTTGTGTTTATTGTTTGAAGTTGACAAAAAACCAAAATGCCAGAGGAAACATGGAACGCATCACTGCTGTCTGTCAGACTTCATACTCCGTTGTCCTCGCCAAATCAATCAAAACAAAACAAGGGAGAGGGACCGCCCCCCCCCCTCCACTCAGGACCTACCATGAGGTGTCTGTTGGCCGACAGCAGACCCGACCCGTACCCGCTGCTCAGAGCGCCCATGGCGCCGTTGTGCGTGTGCGCGGCGCCGATGAGGTTGTGCATGTCGCCGTGGGCGGCGGGCACACCCGTCGACGGTCCCACCGCGTGGCTCCGCAGCACGTGGATGGCATCGTCCAAGCGCTCCAGGCGGTCCTCGATGCGACTTTGCTGTGGAGCGCAGGGACACAGAACCAGGTGAGTCTCCTCCGTCATCTCAACTGTCATTCTGAGACGCAGGTCGGACAGAACCCTTGTCCGTCCATCTGGGACACACGGATCTCTGTGGTTTTTACATGAATTGGTCCCAATCAGTCATGTGGGTTAATCCGGGACTCAACCCAATGAACCAATGCTCCTTTTCCTGTTGCTCAAAACCACAGCGACCAGCTGTTTTAAGGAAAAAGGGCCACCACGTCTACACCTCAGGTTCAGTGGAGGTGAACGCGTGTCATACATCAGGCGTGTGCGTGTGTGTGTGTGTGTGTGTGCGTGTGTGTGCGTGTGTGCGTGCATACCAGCGAGTGTAACGGAGCCTCGTAGTTCGGAGACGATGCTCCTTGTCCGCCGTTCCTCGACCAGACAGCTGAACTGGCAACTAGGACAGAGGAGACAAGGAAGCGCCATCAGGAGATGAGGTCGGGGGGACAAAGGTGCGGTAGAAGATATGAGCGGGGGGGATCTGGCAAGGGGGTGAATAATTGGCAACTCAGTGTTCACTGTTTAGTTTGATCAGAACCGGCTTTCCTTCATCGGCACTGGGTTCTGTGAGAGGCCGCCCACCTGTGCACTCTCCCCCAGTGCATGCTGGGATACCCCCCGAGCGACTCCTGCGCAGGCCGCCTGTCTGCGCGTGGCCCCGAGCCAAAGCCCGCTCTCCTTTTGGAAGTGAAGGAAGCGAGCCACTAAAGGAAGATGCGAGGCTTCGGTGCATCCACGCCTGGTGCCGACATCATAAACGTGCAGATGAGGAAGAAGAGACGAGAACAAAACCAACTCGGATCTCGTAGCAGAAATGCTAATCCCAGGCTTTTGTCTTTCAAAAGCAAGGTACGAGTGGTTGATTAGCATGGCTCTCTGCAGAATAAACACGCTTTGTGTCTCTGTTCTTTTCTGCCGCCACTCGGAGGGTCGCCTCTGAATCCCGGGTCTCATTAGTCGGTAGACAGCGACTTGTGTGGATTCACATCAATACGAGGCGCCTTTAAACAGCGCTGGGTTTAAGCTTCATAGCAGCAAGCTCACCCACCTCACTACAAATAAGAGGTTTTTGGGTGAGGGGTGGTCCAGGTCTATCACTTCTATTCACCAATACTGTGGCGTGGGTTCAAAAATGACAGGAGAATATTTTGGAGGCGCATTGCGGGCCGTGTTGCCCGAGTGGGTCACGTTGGACCTCCCTCCCTGGATCATTACGCTCCATAGAGAGCGAAGAGCCATAAATCTTTCTGTGTTTATGGGAGGGTTCATTTTAGTTGGTGTTTTATCCAGGCGGGTGAAAGAAGCGCTCATGAATCATCTCATTTTCCTCCTTGTTTTGCTTCTGATTCCTATTCACTCTCCTTTTCTCTCTCGCCTCATTATTATATTCACTTGTTTCCTCTTCTTCTCTATTTTTCTCTTCCTTTATGTCCTCTCTTCCTAATTCCCCTCTTTCCTCTGCTGACCTTCCTCCTCTCACCACTGATCTCTCCTTTACAACTCAGATCTCATCCCATTAGCTTGTGTTTCTCCCTTTTTTTAAATTGTCTTGCCATCTTTTCTTTTCGCTCTCCTCTATCCCTAATACATGCTCATTACCATATGCTAATTCATAAATAATCACCTGGGTTCATTCATGTGCAAATACAAATATATGTCTTAAATTATTCTGAGTCCAACTCTGTAAAACAACCCTGCAGAATTAGCCTGAATATCAATTTGCATGTAGTTTGCTCTAATAGGCGTCATTTCTAATTTGTAAAGTGTGGAGTAACTCCGACACAACGATAAACACCAATTACAGTTCAGCAGGCGATATCCCAGGCAGCTATAAAGACGGAGAAGATGGAGGGGGGGCTGGTAGGTTTGACAGCGATATGTCAAAGTAGTGCTGCTAATTTAAACAGTCACAGAAATATCATCAATATAACGGTGCAGCGATCTGTAACCACAATTACAGACAAATCTGACACAACTATTATTAGAAAAGTCATTTTCACCATAAGGAGCGAGGAGAGTTTAGCACGTCAGCCGCGAGAAGTAGGAAGGTACAGAGAAGAGACACAGCATCTAAAATGTGTTCTTTAATTCATTCCATAAAAAGATTTCCCAATTTAAAACTAAATTTCTGCTCGAATAACCTTGATGCTTTGGACTTTTTCAAAGTAATTAAAGTCTAATCTCAAGTGAGTCATGTTTACACAGACAACTCATTTGAAAACAGTTTATGACTTTTGACTATTGTCATTTTAACAAATTCAAGTCGAGTTCCAAGTCATTTAAAACTATTTAGTTATATACTGTATCTATGGTCATTTAAAACATTCAAGTCAAGTCATGTGAAACGAGTTCAAGTTCAAAGTCCACAACTGTGTGAGTTGTGAAAACTGTCTGTCCTCCAGCTGTGGTGTGTACTGGTGTGTACTGGTATATACTGGTGCGTACTGGTGCGTACTGGTGTGCTGTGACTGGACGTGCTACCTGTGAGGGAGGGCGGGGAGCCCACTGGGGTGGAAGGGTTGGATGAGAAGCTGTTGTTTGTGTGGTCCGGAGAATAGATCTGGAGAAAAGTCGAATGGTTAAACGTCAACGGGTGGATCACAAAGAAACAAAGCCATCAGGTAATGACAAAATACCAAGTGGATATCTCACATGTATACGTGTGCATCTGTTTGTGTTAGCTGCACTTACGGATGCAAGTGCTTTCCCTAAGGCGTCTCCTGTCTGAGAGCTGCTGGCCGCTGCACTCGGCGCTCGGTTAGCTGTGACACACACACACACACACACACAGGAAGAAGGATATATTCTCAGAAAAAAGTTTCAAACTACATATCAATCATTTTATTTATTACAAAAGATCCATTGGAAGATCTAACTCATTTGTGTTTGTGTGGCAGCTGTGAATGCGTTGAATGTCCTGATCCCATCCCTCACAGCTCCACCAACCTGCCCCAGTCCCCCTCCCCTCCCTCCCCCAGCCCATCAGGTGCTCACGCCTCTTCATCTATATCACCTTCCCCTCCCCCACCAGCAACGACCCTCTGTATTCTGGAGAGAGACGTTAACCGGCTCTTTAGAAGACAAAACCCCCGTAAGGCAGCCGGCCTGGACTCCGTTTCCCCTCACTCCCTGAAGCATTGTGCTGACCAGCTGTCTCCGGTGTTCACTGACATCTTCAACACCTCCCTGGAGACCACGTACCAGCCTGCTTCAAGGCCTCCACCATCATCCCTGTTCCCAAGAAGCCCAGGATCACAGGACTCAATGACTACAGGCCCGTCGCCCTGACCTCTGTAGTCATGAAGTCTTTTGAACGGATAGTCCTGTCCCACCTGAAGTCCCTCACCGACCCCCTCCTGGACCCCCTGCAGTTTGCCTACAGAGCCAACAGGTCTGTGGACGATGCTGTCAACATGGCCCTCCACTACATCCTCCAGCATCTGGACTCCCCAGGAACCTACGCCAGGATCCTGTTTGTGGACTTCAGCTCTGCTTTCAACACCATCATCCCGTCTCTGCTGCAGGATAAACTCTCCCAGCTGCACCGCCCGACTCCACCTGCAAGTGGATCACAGACTTCCTGTCTGACAGGAAGCAGCACGTGAAGCTGGGGAAACATGTCTCAGCCTCCAGGACCATCAGCACCGGTTCCCCCCGAGGCTGCGTTCTTTCCCCTCTGCTCTTCTCCCTGTACACCAACAGCTGCACCTCCAGCCACCAGTCCGTCAAGCTCCTGAAGTTTGCGGATGACACCACCCTCATTGGACTGATCTCTGGTGGGGACGAGTCCGCCTACAGGTGGAGTCTGACCATCTGGTGTCCTGGTGCAGTCAGAACAACCTGGAGCTCAACGCTGTAAAGACAGTGGAGATGGTTGTGGATTTCAGGAAGAACAGAGCCCCACCCTCCCCCATCACCCTGTGTGACTCCCCCGTCACTATTGTGGATTCCTTCCGTTTCCTGGGCTCCATCATCACCCAGGACCTCAAGTGGGAGCTGAACATCAGCTCCATCACCAAGAAGGCTCAGCAGAGGTTGTTCTTCCTGAGGCAGCTGAAGAAACTCAACCTGCCAAAGACGATGATGGTCCACTTCTACACGGCCATCATGGAGTCCATCCTCTGCTCCTCCATCAGCGTCTGGTACGCTGCAGCCACAGCCAAGGACAAGGGCAGGCTGCAGCGTGTCCTCCACTCTGCAGAGAGGGTGATCAGCTGCAATCTGCCGTCCCTGCAGGACTTGTTCGCTTCCAGGTCTCTGAAGCAGCTAAAGAGATCGTGGCCGACCCCTCTCACCCTGGACATAAACCTGTTTGTGCCCCTTCCATCTGGCAGGAGGCTGAGGTCCATCAGGACTAAGACCTCCCGCCACACCAACAGCTTCTTCCCGTCGGCAGTCGGGCTCATCAACAGAGCCGGTCCCCCACTGCCTGACTATAACATTCCACCGGTCACTCTGACAGTGATGCATCTCTTGTGTGGTGCATTTAACCCGTGTAACACGGTTACATAGAACTTAATGGATTGACTCGGCTACCACAGCGCCATCAGAGGTCAGCTTTGAAGCCACGCATGGTGGTGTGTGACCCCCCTCCTCATTGGAGTCAGAGGACGCAATCCAACAACATCTGACCTCTCTTCACATTGTCACTGAGTGCCTGCAAATGGTCGACTTCACCAGTAAATCTGTTTCACACACTTGAAGAGCACTGAGGCCACAGAGGAAGGAAGTGACCTCACAGGACCAGATGAGCCCCCCCCCCCCACACACAGACTGAGGCAGAGGAACTCATGTCCCCCTGATAGCAGATCCCAGATGGAAAGTTTACGCTCGCACACACAAGTTAGACACACACACACACACGCACAGCAAAACACATCCTTTCCTTTCATGGCAAATGAATCCATTACAGAAATTGGCAGGACTGGACTTCTTTAAGCTGAGAGAGAGAGAGCAGCATATGTTTTGGGGTTAAAGCCTCATGTCTCACTCACGCCATACCACTGGCCTAGTAAACCATCCCAGGGATTACTGCTATACACAAACACACACACTTGTGTCCTGACTTGACGCATAATTTAGAACACATGCAGTAGAAATAAATGGGAGCTTATAGCTGCAAAGGAGAAGAGCTTTAGGACAGTTTTGTCTGTCCATCCTCAATAAGAAATACAGTTTGGATGTTTTTTTGCTACGAGTTTACACCCCATTGTGAACCAAGCGAAGGACGAGTCGCCGCCGACGCCCACCAATGGTGTTCAACCAGGGTGGAGATTTAATCCGAGGCCTTTGACCCTGGTTGTTAACACACCACTGGACTGCAGCTGTGATCAGTGTGGATTCACGCAGCTTAGTGTTGGATCTGATACACAGCATCTTCACAGGACCATACACTTAAACCCATGGGCTTCTGTTTGAATTCACCAACTCTTTGTGCAGATAATTCTTTACTAAATGTGACAAAAATAGAATACAAAACACTAAACACTGGCGTGTTTTCCCACTCGGACCGGACCGGCACAGGGAACCTGTGAGCGACGCTACCAGAAGTTTGCATTTAAACAACAGCGCCTTGTTTTTTATTAGCTCCGTGATGGCTACACTCATCTGCTCAAGGTTGTGTGTGTGTGTGTGTGTGTGTGTGTGTGTGTGTCATATCTCATGGATTGTTGGGAGACGTCTTCCCATGAAAACAAACGTTCAATCTGTTTCTTCTTGCTGGTCATGTTTTCTATTGGATTCAAAGCAAGGGGTCCATATGGCATGCTGTGTGTGTGTGTCTGTGTGTCTGTGTGTGGGTGTGTGTGTGTGTGTGTGTGTGTGTGTGTGTGTGTGTGTGTCTGTGTGTCTGTGTGTGGGTGTGTGTGTTTATTGGTGATGTCAAGGTCGAACCAAAACAGAGTACAACTGTTCTTCAGTTTCTGACCCCCCGCCTTCCCGCCTTGCTGCAGAACTTCAGTTATTAACTGGTTTCAACCATCTGAGCCGGATCACAGAAGACTCCCCAGTTATGAGGGAAGAAACATCAATACCAGACAATTATTTTAAAATGACATTCAAAAGGAATCGGTCCATAGTTAGAGCGAACGGGAAGTGAAAGCACCCGTTGTCTTACTTAGTCTCGAGCACGATGACATGGGAACCCAGCAGTTCATAGAGTTTGGTGTCTCACCCATGATGCTTTCTGTGCCATTGGTGGAGGCGGTGCACGAGGCGGTGCTGTAGTGGTTGCCCCCGCCCCCTCCTCCCCCCGCCCCTCGGTGGAAGCTGGACATGGGGGGGAGGCTGGAGTTGATGTCTGCAGACGAGTGTGACGGGTAGCTCTGCAGAGAGACGGGACTGAGTCACTAATAGAAGCACCCATCACATTAAGAATAGTTTTGTTTAATAGATTACAAGCTGAGATGCTGTTTGAATATGTAAATGAGGCATTGTCATTAGATACTGTGGTTCAACGCTCTGCTCACCAATCTGTCATGGGGGTGAATCCCGCAGTAGGAGGAGCTCTGGGAGGCGGCGTGGGACGAGTTCCCGCCCCCCAGCATGCTGCCGTGGTAACCTTGCTGGCCCATGCTGCTGCTGCTGCTGCTCCAGGGGTCGCCGCTGTGGTGACCGTCTGACACGGGGAGAGAGGGGGGAGACAGGTACATGTGATGACGTGTCATCAGTAGAATGAAACACACTCCTCTCTGCTGTCAAGAACTTTCTGTCGCCACGTCTGCATGTAGTTTGGGCCACTGACCCACTTCATGCATTGACCTGATTTCACTACACAGTTGTGTAAAGGCAACAATTAAGAATAGCCTGGCTAGATAGAACTTTGCTACACAGACCTGCTTCCTGGGACCATTTGTACCAACTTCTGCAACCGTCATCAGTACATAAACAATCCAATATATCCACAGAAAGCGGAGATCAGAACTGTATGCACCACCACACAAAGGGAGGCCCGCACCTGCATGTACCTGTACCATCTAAAAACACCAGGAATCATAGGGTGGAGAGCTTTTCCATAAAGACTTTATAGAAATAGAGTCGCACCGATGGACCAGCCGCCTTCTTCAGCGTGAGTCTGAAATGAGCCATGGAGGAACATCCTTAAAAACATTTACAATGACTCACATCATCAGGCCCTTTTTACTTTCATCCCAGTAAGCAGCTTGTGTGTCGACAGCAGAGTAATCCGGTTTTCATTTGGGATGAGAAACTTGAATATTTGTTTGAATACTTGATTAGTTTTCACGGTAAAATTGATAATTAATTATGTGTAACTTCCCAACCCTCGTAATAAGCAGCTTACATCATTAAGATGTACTTAAATCACAGCCAGAATTAAAATAGTAATGTAATTCCAAATCATTTGAATTGTGTTTTAAAGATGACAATAACAAGGTCAAAAGATGACATTTACATTTTTTGAGAGCCGGTTTTGTGTCAAAAAAGTTGTTGTCGATTACAGCTGTTGGACAAACATTGGAATCAATAGGTCAGACTTCTTTTTTTTTTTAAATGAAAGTTAGCCAGTTGTGCATCTCTACTATTTGACGCATTGTGAGTCTGCAGCCGCGGGAAGCAGCAGCTTTGCTCAGAAACCACTGCTGCCTGGCAACGTGCACATCAGCCAGCAACTTCTGCTCTTCATCCATTGAGGGTTTTAGCCACAGAAAATGATCCATGATCCACTCTAAACTCAGGAATCACTGCAGTGAGATGTGACGTGTGTGTGTTCTTGCATACCTGGCATGAAGAAGGAGCTTGGGAAGCCGGCGCTGGGGGGCTTGGAGGAGGGATAGCCCGGTGAGTCCCTGTTGTAGTCTGCCGTGCTGGCAGACGGAGCGTACACCTGCAACACAGAGCACACACACACAAGGTCACCGAGGGGTCTCGGATCAAAACACAACGATGATCGACACTCCGGCCCCCATCACATCACTTCCCTTTTGTCCTTTGCTTTTTATTCTAATACAGGAGGAAAAACGGTAACTGATCCGGGAACTGTGCTTGTATTTATAAATGAATAATTTCAACGTTTGATGTTATATTTTAAGGTTTTCTCCTGCCAATATATTATATATAAATATAGGGGGGGGTGCAGCAAAAACGCGGGGACACGCGCCCCCCGTAAGCGCCCCCCAACAGGTGAGGTTGTTTTTTCAGCGGCTGCGTGAAAAGGCGGTCCCTGTTTTTTGTCACCCCTGCGGCATGCCTCCATGTGCGTAGCATAGCGTGCAAACACTCAGCAAACCTTGGGACAGCTTTTGAAAGCGTTTTTCTCCCCTTTACAACAAATCGAGCCCCCCCCCCCCCCCCCCTAATCTACTGCCGTCCCCTGGAAAAGACATGAGCTGCTTTGTTAACTTTGCATACGGATGGAACACAGATGCGGTGAAAGACGAGCCGATGATAAAACGCAGCAGAAGAAATAAAAGAAAAAGCTGGAGCGACTAAAAGACACACTTGGGGGCATTACGGAAACAATAACCTCACACCCTCCCTGAGAGATATCAGTAAAAACACAAGGCTGCTTCTGAAAGCTTCTACTTCTGAGAGGAAAATCAGTGTGATTTGTATTCTAAAAGGATCATGTGACCAGACAGAGAATCATAGAAGGAATCGGAGCAGCAGGTGCGCACAGGTGTGATGTCTGCAGCATGAGGAGATGCATGCGGATACACAGCAGCTTCATTCAGTTCCACATTAGCACCACGTCATCTCGTGACGTGAGCCTGGTGTGCAGAACAAAGTGGGGGTCTGCAGAGGTCAGAGGCTCCTTCATTGACGCGTTACTGAAGCAATTAATTGTCACTTCCGATTGTGACTCTTTCTGAGAAGGTAACTAAAGCCCAGTAGATGAACGTTACACTAAATGAGCCCTTGTGGTTCTAAGAAAAGGACCAAGGGAGTAAGGCGGTGGAACTCGTTTCCTGTCAAAGACACTTGACGGCCGACACCACAATCCATGACCCAATTGGTCTAGTCCCAGAACCAGGACCAGAACCATACCGTGAACCTAATCGGGACATACTATGTAACTAATAACTAAGAAAAGTAGTTGCGGTAGTTTTTTTCAGCCTGAGGTGACACCCTTTGGTCACCTTTCTTCTACCTTCTTCTACTGCAGTGACGTGACTTATTGGTCATTGTGGAGGACGACACAAGCCGAGCACACACGCCGATAGCTGCCTAGCGGAGCTAATGAGCTGCGATGTGTCGTTGCCTTCCCATAATTACGGTGGCCCTGAAGTGCAAAACACAACGAAATTAACTCCTTACAGAAAGGGTTGTTTTGCTATTTGCGTTGTGTGCGTTGCTATTTGCCGTTGTGTTTTGCACTTCAGGGCCACCGTACATAATGCAACCTACAGGAGGTTTGACGATCGTCTCGGCAGTAACACACACATGCACACACACACACACACTCAGGGTCTGTAGATGTCATCAGATCTGAATTGAAATCCCCCCCAAACTCCATCCTCCTCTCCTCTGAGAACTCAGTGTTCTGATGATAAAACCACATTTATTGACCCACAGTGTGTACGTGAAAACTCTCAAACACGCACGCGTACACACTCTCATGCTTGTGTCGTTCCTGCATGAAATATTCAGATTCATGTCTCATGCTTTCCCATTGAATGGGTTGTTAAACTGGCAACGAAAGGCTGCGATTTGTACGTCTGTGTGAGTGCATTTTTGTGAGAGTGTGTGTGTGTAAGTGTGTGTGTGTGTGTGTGTGTGTGTGTGTGTGTTACGGAGAGACAGAAACAGGTGCAGAGTGTGTTTAAGTCTGAGGAATGCAGAGGGAGACAATAACAAACTCACATCCTGCATTCTGTCAGACACACACACATGCAAACACACCCGCACGCACACACACGCACACACACACACACACACGCACACACACACACACACGCACACATACACACACACATGCAAACACGCACGCACGCACACACACACACGCACACACACACACACACACACACACAGATGCAGCGGTATTAGGATTCCCACAGTTAGTAGCAGGAGGACCTGCCCACAAACCAGAGAACAGTAACAAGAACCATAGAAACCAGTGGAACATCATCTAGCAGTTTAAGTGCTGCTGATCATCAATACTGATATGACCGTTATGATCCCGACCACAACAGACACCGTCCAAACCGCCAGATCCAATGGGGTACAGAACCAGACCCACATCAAACCAGTTCTCTATGCCGTGGCGGGAGAAGAGACATAACCAACAAGAGACACACAAGGCTGAAACACACTGGGAAGGTGCAGGTGATTGGACCACATTTCCACATTGGAAACAATCAGGGACACGACAGAGCAGGAAGTGAAGCTAAACCAGGTCACAAGAGGCATAACACAGGACATCAACCCACACCGAGCAAGCTGGGCATCCAGGACACGTCGGGCTGCACGGTGTACTGGTTCAGACGGTGTACCGGTACCAGATGTCCGTACGGCATGAATCTCTCATTGTCTTAGTGTGTTGAGATTGAGTCGTGGTTATAACTTTATAACAATAACGCACATCAAACACTCTTTAACAGGGTAAAACACCACAGCTGGTGACACACAAACAACTTGTAACCCTAATAATTGTACATTTATAAAAATGACCCCGCTGAACTGCATGCTGGGTAAAGCTCAGAAGTAACTCTGCTGCTACATGAAAACACGGAAGAGAGCAACACAAGAGGAACAAGGAGAGACCAGAGATGCACCAACACAACTTGTGCCCAACAGAGGAGCTCAGTCTGTTTGGAGGGTTTTGGTTTTGGAAAATCTGACCTTAGATCAGAAAACCATTTATTGCAAAGTCTGTTGAGCCTCTGAGGGAAACACTAGCAGCCACAACAAGCTAACACGCTAACTAGCTAACGAGCTAACTCGCTGGCCAGTTGCAGGCGAGTTGGCCAGCGAGCAGCAAGCAGCTGTTCGGGTAGCGCCGTCCTTTTCGGGGTCAATGAATGAATGTGTTACTTACCGACACATGCCGGGATGCTGTCAGAATATTTCTAAATACAGTGAGGAAGATTGTAGACGCCGTGGCAAAAGAACCCATAAGAGCAAACACCCCGGGGACGTTAATGTCTTGTTTCAGTTGTGACCAGTTGACAGCGATGGGAATGCTGGAGGCCGTGAAGGGTTTTGTCGGACTGGAAAGAGAAACGGGAAAAACAAGAAATGGAACAGAGCGAAATGCTTCGAGTTGGCTCCTGATGAAAAGGGTACAGAGGGGACGGAAAGAAGAATGGGCCTTTGTGTCTTAGTTTGTCTTTTGATGCTTCTTGTCTGCATTATTGTCTCCAAATGTAGGAAGCATCTGCTCAACCTCCCCTCTGCTCCACAGAGAGGAAGGGAAGCTGGAGAAAGAGGAGCAGCTCCTCCACCTCTTCCTCCTCCTCTTCTTCTACCACTATTAACCTGAATAGCTTTGCTCTGTCTGCCTGTCCCACTGCCTGTCCCTCTGCCTGTCCCACTGCCTGTCCCTCTGCCTGTCCCACTGCCTGTCCCTCTGTCTGTACCCGTCTGCCTGTCCCACTGTCTGTCCCTCTGCCTGTCCCTCTGTCTGTC